TTGACGAGGTTCTCTGCTTTTCTTCTTCCTTCTTTTCCCAGGTACCTTCTGAGCCTCTTTCGCTGCTTTAATCCTCAATTTTTCTTGTTGAGCTAATAGTTTTTTGGCTTCGTTTTCCTGTTTAATCTTCTCCTTCTCTTCTTTTTTCTCTTCCTTTCAACAATTCTGAGTGAAAAGCATCAAGTTATTGGGATAGATTATTCTGCGTCTAGGAATTGAAAATCGCGCGTCCGGAAATTCAAAGTAGGTTAGATTTTCGTGATCAGAAAATAGACGATGATATTCAATGATTTTTCACTGAAAATTCGATTTTGGTGATTGAAAAAATTACGAATCACCTTTGTAAACAGTAATCATGTGGTACATACCTTGTTTATTCATCCGAAAAGCATTGTTTTTTTCACATTCTCTGTATCGCGTTGGCTAACTACTGACAGCGCCACTGGGGTCCATCACTGCACCTCACGACGATTTATTTTTTTCTTCTTTAAATGTCGATCAATAGCAAAAGAAAAATCATAAGATAATTCTGCACGAGTGATATTATTGGAAGGTTAAATAATCACTAGTTTTCATTCGATTATTTATAGAATATTGTAGTTGAAAGTTTATAGAATATTGTATTGAATATGGTAGTTGAAATCGTCCAGTAATTGACCCCCATGCAGCAATTGGCCTGCTCACCCTACACTGTTAGAAAATTACACTTTAAATTTCAAGTAGCCCAGTGGCTTGGCGCAGCGGGTAAGTTCCTTGCCTCATATGTGCAAGGTTCCGAGTTCAAAACCCGGCCGGATAGAATGGTGAGATCTAACGATTTAAAGTCCTGATCATCATTGCAACATACCCCGACCGGGTCGAAGCGATGTAAAATAACGATGAAAAAAAAATTCAAGTGAAAAAACTTGAAATTTTTAACAACGATAAAGTAACATGAAATTTCTGTAGAATTCTTCATTGACAAATCAGTTAATTTCTTGAATATTCAAGTAATTCTCGATTTTCAGAACCATACGGCACTGAAAAACCTTGATAATGTTGAAAATTCAGGCAATAACTTCTCTGAATTTTCAATCTGTTGAAAATTCAATTATGTTTGATGTTCAATTTCCACGATGAATTTGAAAATTCAAGCTTTCATTGAAAAACCAATGGTTTTTTAATATGAAAAATCAAGTTTTCTTGAATTTTCAAGATGAATGAGGAATTTAGTGAACGTTTTCAATTGAAATTAAATTCAAACTCACAACATTTGAAATTCAGATGACATTGCGACTGAAATTTCAAAACAAAATTTAACAGTGTACACTGAGAGAAAAACAGTAGATTTCTCAAACAAGTCTTACATATGCACGCAAGAACAAGTACAAGTAAGAAATGTAATTTCTAGCACTACTTCTTCATTATTCGATGCTCCCATACGTATTTTGCTCCCGGCAAATGTTCGTTTTATACGAAACGAGGAATAGTAGTTTGTCGTTTCAGCTATTCAATAATCACAAACAAAAAATGAATTCCTAAATGAAATAATAATAATGATATGACAACAATCTTATAACTTAGGGACAAAATATTCCTTGATATACTCCCCTCTATAAAAGATATTTTTATCCTGAAAAGCCACCGTTTTGAATGAATGTTCCGCCTTTTCAGCCAAATATTTCATTGTTGTTGGAAACAGAGCAATTATTCATGTTTGAGACTTTCAAATTTAATCTAATTTATTAATTTTAAACTAACTAATTTAATAATTAATTAAACATTTTTTAACCAACGATTTTGTTGGCCCAAACAAGATTTGTATGAGAACTTGTTCGTTTTTCTCTCAGTGTAACGTTTTTTATTTTAGTACCCAACGGTTCTTATTATAAGAACTCAAAGTACTAGATTCCAGAATCAAAACATGTTCAAATGAGAGAAAATGTATCTTGATCCAAGTACCATGGATTTTTCATTTTAGTAAAAATGATTGGGACGTAAAATTTTTTTCTCTGATTTTTAAAGAAAATGTTCTCAGAATAAATGCCAATTTCACTGAAATTTAGAAAGTTTTGCTCTTTAGATTCCAATATTACTCAGTACTAAAATCTGAGATTGTTGCTGGCAAACAAAATTTTTTTTACCTGCGTTGGTTTCTTCCGCATGAAACGTTTCTACGTTTCTAAAAACGTTTGACCCTTTGGATCAATCAGCTTGTTTCTTTTTTTTGATCCCTAGAAACTTTCGATCCTTTTTATAACTCCACCTGACGGATCCTTAAGGCCGTTTGACCCTTTAGAACCCTTTTTTCCACTTTGCCCCACTGCCCTTTGCTCATCCATAATTGAATGATTTTGGAATGAATTCGGGCGTTACGCTTGTTTGTTATACATGTGAGTCATAATAAACGTATCTCTCATTTCCGGACATGTTCGATCTTTTTTGATCATTTGAAAGTTTAACATTTATTTGGAGATACGTTGATCTATTCCAAAAAAATTGAAAATGACTATTTCGATGATTTTTCCACTACCGAGCATATGTAGCGCATTTTTTAGAGATACGTTATTTTACTTCTGGAAATAAACGTTTTTGGTGGTTACGTGACTCTGTTACTAAGCTGTCGATATGCAACTGTTCAAAACAAATACTATTTTTATTAATGTTTCTACATGTTATTGTGATTTTAAAATTTACGGACATTTTCAAACATACATCTGCGTAGTTTCTCTCTCCGCCTCTCATCATTGAAGAGAAAACAACCCTCTTCGAGTGAAATAAGGGGACACAGTTGTGAGAGAAAGAGAGAGGGGGGAAATCTGTGGGAACGTGTCGAATGAAAAGGAAAAGAGCCAAAGTAGACTAAAGGGAAACATTCAGATACTGGGAAAGATGGTATTGCCATTTGTTAAGGAACCCCACGAGTAATAAAATATTGCATAATGGCGGGTACGTACTCGATATGGATGAAATTTTATCTCCAATTTTAGGGGAAGGTAACCAAGAGTGTTAAAAGTGTGTGAAAAAAAAATTTCAATGTTTGGAGGGAGGAGATTGCACACACGTGATATAATTTAGTCGTGTGCTTGACGTGTGCATTTTTTTTATCATGATTTTGTGGGTCGACAGGTGAATTCTGTGGAGTCGTGGGAATTTTTACCAAACTGATTTTGTTTATTTGATTTGATTGGCTTTGAATGATTGGTAGAAAACCTTGATAGTTCAATAAGTTATTTGGAACTTTTTATTTTGCATCAGAGGCTCGGAGGAAACGGAACCTTTCGTTGATCTTTAATCCTAGTTATCCCGAGTGTTGATGCACAGAATGAGCAATGCGATGATCTGCTGAAAAGCCACCACTATTGCAAAAATGTGCTTCACACCATCTAGCATTTTTTGGCGATCAGGTATTCAACACTGAACGTGCACTTGAAAATTCCACTACACCCCATTTTGTCCAAGAGAATGGTCCAATCTGAAATTACACAAACGAATTGAATTAATCGATAGATCAATCATTTTTATTTGTTTCCGCAATTTCATTGCATTTTGGTAATTTTTTTTATAGATTCTTAGGTTCGAATTTCGATAACGAAATGTAATTATGTTTGTTATCAGTGAGAACTTCCCCCTACAATCGTGAAAAGTTAACCGATTAGTCACCATATACTTTCCCATGGTACGATAATCGTGTGAGCGTGTGCTACAACCAATTCCTGTGTGAATTCCATTCTCTTTATCCCCACCTCCATTGCCCCTCGTTGAATCGAACCCTCCCTTTGTCCACACTTCTCCATGTGTATCCAAGCCACCACCGATCGCTTCAATTGGGATTGGCCGTGTAGGAGTGATTTCACGGTGGCGCCCTTATCAACTACACCATAAACCCACTCGCCAGCGTCATCGAAGCTTTCGCACTCCTTTCAAGAACTCGAGCCAATCTTATCTAATCCACTGGTGATTCGGTCACGTGTTGCTTTATTATTTTATATTGAATGTTTGGTGAAGTAATAATTCATTATACCCTGAATGAATAACTTCGTGAATAGGGGTTTATGTTGAGAATGGGTTTGCAACTAATCTTATTCATCAAATGAATTTTTCAAGATGAAGGAAAAATTGCAAAAAAAAGTAGCAAGTTTTCGGTTGAATGTTATTTTATATTTGATTCTGTCTTTTATTTTGGAATAATCATGGAAGATCAGTAATCCTTACATTTGCCAATATACAGATTGTTTTTAAGGGAGAAGAATTGAATACAAATACAAGAAATGGTCTGGCCGCATTTTTTTTTCATCAATCGAATTATTCGTCCCAAATTGTTGAGAATCTGATCTTCCTAGGGGAAAAAAGTACATTTCTATAAACCAAAATAAAAATCTACCATTCTGAAGAAAGTGATAAAAGTAATGGGGGAAAAAGTGGCCGCTTGTTGACCGAGTGCAACGGGATTCATCCCCTCAACAATGATCGTTCACTCCACGACACGCGTTCCCACGAACTCGTGTGTACACCCCTCCCCATTACCCCACTCTCCGCACTTACCAGTCTATACTCCGTCCACCCATCGATGAAGAAAGAATTTCACATATCCAACGTACCCCATATACTATCCCCACTCCCATCACTGTAACCCGGGGACCACCACGTGGCGAGCGTACGGCATTTCTCCTTCCTATGGCCCTCCTGGACACGGGATAGGTCGTGTGTCGTGCTCGTCCTCCCGCACACGACATACGTTCGCCGCCACGCGACCCGTCTACACGCATCGGAAGCTGCACTGGCCTCACTTGCATTTCTCATTTTTGCATTAACTTCAGTTTTTGAAAGTGTTTGAATTATCCCGACGGAGTTCAAGAGACAGTTCAAAGTTATTATCAACTTTTGGTTTTCAAATACCGGAATTAAGTGATTGGAATTATTTGGAATTTTTACCAAGCAACCTTCTAAAAATTTTGAATGAGTGATGGTATAGTTTTTTCGAGTGCATTGAAGTGAACTTATAATTATTGCGAGCCAAAATGTGGCGTGTAGTGGTAGCTAGATCTGACGAAAACAGTACGTTACTATCTTCGGAGATAACGACCCCAGTAGGTCAAACCCACTTATCAAGTATCCCCGGTCCACCTACAAGCCACCACTATTATCCTGGCTACCCGCCACCCCCTCACCATGGTTCGTATCAACCCCAACACCCTGACGTCCGTCATCACGAGATGCGACCCGATTTGAGGCCCGAGTTGAGACATCAAGAGATGCATAATCGTCAAGAACTTGGACACCAGGAGATGCACAGACCCGAGATAAGAAATGAGGGAGGGATGAGGACAGAGATGAGGCATGACATGGGTCAACATCAGGATATGAATGGCATGAGACAGACTCATGAATTAACGGAGTTAAGGCCGAGTCATGAATTGCCAGAGTTGAAAATTGATGGACCTGAATTGAGGCCAAGGGATTCACAGAATCAGGGACATCAGAGGAGTCTCAAGAGGACTATCGGAAGTGATTCTGATTGTGACGATGTCTTCTCGGAAGAAAGTGGAAAAGAACCGTAAGTGTTTCGTTCAAATGCAGCGAAATCTGTCAAAATAAATTTGAATAATTTAAATATTTTTCAGTGCAAGCAGAATTAGATGAATTTCCTTAAGAATGTTTTATCTATTTCTATAGGGACATAAAAAAAGTGTTTTGTTTGGTTTAATTCGATTACATTGAATTGTTTCCCCATTTTTAATATTGTTTCAAATAGAACAATCATTTCAGTCTCATAATTAATTCACGAGAGAAAGACAGAAATCTCAGTCATGAATATTCAAAATCTTTCATGATTTCAACTCGTTCTATTTATTCCTGTAATCAACTGACCATTGTAATGGTGTCCAACAATCGGAGACTAACAATAACGTCTAGACTGATATTTAATCCGCGAGAAACAATGATAGCATAATTTCAATTGATTTCAGATGCAATTCACCTGGTGGCGATTCGTGCCAACATGCATCGCGAAAAAGACGAAGGGGAATGATTGAAAAAAAGCGGAGGGATAGAATTAACGCGTCTTTGGGGGAGCTGAGGAGGCTGGTACCAGCAGCAGCAAGGGATCCGCACTCTGGGAAACTCGAGAAGGCGGAAATTCTGCAGCTAACTGTTGAACATCTCCGCACCCTTAGGAACAAAGGTAGACATTTTTAAATCTCATTGGTTATGTAACAGATTTGAGCCGCTATACAGGATGTTGCATGTGTAGATGAAATTGAATGCGGATTTGGGATTTTCAATGGACATGTATTAGGACGGATGTGAATTTTTCGGAGAAATATTTACGGAAGTTTCACGCTTTTCACTCTACCGCTTGGATATTTGTGGTGCCACCGGAAAACACCTGTTGACTATACAGCGTTGAGTCACAGAGGGATGAGGGGGTAACAGTATTAATCCGGTAACTGTATTAACATCTGGTGTTTTTGGGAAAATTAAATCAGGACCGAAAGAGAACGCTCGGAGAGTTTAGCCCTCTTTTGTGAATATATTATAGTGACGGCGTTAACGTAAATGAATACTAACGCCCTTCAGTAGTGCTACCTCATTCCACAATAGAAAGTTAATGTACGAATTGCTTTGATTTATACTTGATGGATTTGACTTTACGAGAGAATGGAAATGTAAAATATACCAAATGGAATGATACAATTTTTTCAACTAAATTAATCAACTTGGTGAATAATTTGAATTTCAATCTTTATGATGATAATAACTACTACATACCCTGGAAATTTTCCACCCGTATGAAAACAATTTTGACGCAAAAGTTGATGAAATGAAATTTAATAATTGACATCATGAGTTTTTGGTTGAAAAAATCATGATTTGTAAAAAATAAATATCAAATATTTCACTCATAAAATTTGAGTTAATGGACTCCGTTCCGTATTTTCTCTCACGTGATCCGTTTTCAATATCCTCCCCGTCATCACTTGGGAGTCCTTTAAAGGAACACGTAGTAAGGCAGGTGCTTGGCGCATAGCCACCCCGAGATCCTGTGGGAAGCACGGAGGAAGTCAACAACTCTTCCGAATGGCGTTCCCACGATTGACTGAATCCCTACCACTGTGCCACTGCAGCATGGTGGGAATGGTGGGGGAACAAACTCCCCTGTTATACTCATAACATACTACTGAAACGATCCGAAAAATGTACTAGGTGCCCATTGGATGGCATCGGGCAGATGTAGAACACTGTGGGAAATACTGATCTTATAGTTTACTCATTTGTGTACTCAATATCATCGTTTTCTTCATTTGACAAATGAGAAAACTCTCTCAACTCGAAGAAACAAATCAACGAACTCTAGAACAAACAATAAATCAATAAAATTTCACATTTAAAAATAGTAAGATTTTTCTCATTAGAAACAATTTCAAATAGTTACTAGAAAATTCATAAAAATTTGCAAAGAAAATGGAATAGGAAGACAAAAATGAGAATAATTTTCTCGCAATGGATCAATTAGCAATGAGTTAGCATTGTTAGAAAAACATTAAAAAATAATCAAAAAATGTGATAGCATTTTTCCAAATGTTGAAGAAATCGTAAACAAATAAATGAATAAAAATAGTTTTCAGCAGACTGCTTACATGAAAAAAAATTAAAGGATTTGGCACCAGTCGATTCATTGCCGACGAATGGAGGACAGGTAGCGTGGGAAACATTTGGACCCCTTGGACCCCTCCTTGGACCCCTCCATTAGTGTGCGTGTATATTTATAGAAAACGTCCCCACAATACTCCACGCACACCATACGACCAACAAATCTACCAATATCCTACAATATTAGACGATTCCCCTTTGCGCATATTTTCTGTGTATGCGCATAGGCTCAAGGGAATTGGGGAGATCAGTGTCGTGGCCTGGTAAATGCCAAATCTAATTTCATTACGAGCATTGCATTTGATATATTTTTTATATTTCACTGAGTTTCCTCTTTTTTTTCTATAACACCACCCCTTTCTCCCATGGCAATCATGATTTATATCCCCGAATCCCGGTCTCTAGAGAGGTTTGTTCAATCAAATTGAATTCAAATGCTACTTTTTCGACTGCCAATCTTTCGTTTAATTGAATCATTTTCATCACGCCGTGACGAAAAGTGAACTTTTCGGCACGCTCCGCGTGCCTAAAAGTCCAATTTCCGCCACATTGTGATGAAAAATATTGTTCGTAACTCCACCCTTGACATTCAAGTTAATCTAATTATCAATCATTCCAATTAGCTTGTCAGTTCTTAGCACTTATCTCCGACAAATAACTTCCGATTCAATTCATAATAAATCATTACGTATGATTTATTATGAAAATATATATTGAAAATATGCACTGATGTATTTAATGCATACACGGGGTTCGTTTCTTATGTGTGGCTAGAAATCCGCTTTGGAATTCGCGTGCATTTCCTCCAAACATTGATGCGCCAGCTTTGACACTGCCATTTTGTGGTACTTCCCCGTAACCTTGTACTAATCAGCTGATGTAATGCCCAATTATATTCCATTAATTGAAATCCAATGCGAAATAATTGATTATCCCCATGAAATCCGCCATATTTGATTAATGACCCATCTTCTTTATTAAATAGGATTATATAGGACTAGCGCTGCCGCGGTTGCGCGAGCGTCCGCAACGTTGATGCCTTTTCATTATGCCTTTTCTGGTTTTTTCCTTTTGTTTCTTCCAAAAATTAATTATTTATCATTGGCTTATTAAACTGAGTGGTAAGATTAATGGACACAATGTTTATCGATTCATCGCCTATTCAATTTCAATATTTCAATAAGTGATTCACTAATTCTGAACTTCTGTGCTCACTGAATGATGTTCTAAGTATAATTATAATCAACATTCTATTCAGAGTGCGCAAACAATAATTATTAAAATTACACATTTACAAAAGCATTTAATTATTTTTGCTGGAAAAATTATATGACCGATTCTGATGCTCCTTTACTCATTCGGAGTATTTTCTCCTCATTCATATTCTTTTACACAACTTTATTCGATGATGCCATGAACTTGAAACTTTGATGAATCTGAAATTTTTTCAAATTCTCCATGAAATCCCGAAATCCTTGTGAATTTTGCTTGAAAGACTTGGAAATTTTTGTAAAATTATGTTTTCAGATTTTTCAAATTATAATCTTCTTTCCCATTTGAATCAATTAGAATGCAGTAGTTGGGGCCACGTGACTACTTCGCATTAGTTTTATTTGGAAGGTTCCGCCTTTTCCTCTCAATTGTTCTCTCACGGTTATTCAAAAACTCTCTAATACCTAAGAGATTCTGAAAATTTTTCCTAATTTCCGAAAAACTCGTGGATTTTTTCGATTTTTTCAGAAAATCTCATAATTGTTTTAAATTCTCTGGAAAACGCCCGAATCATTTTACATTCGGAAAAAACCGACAATTCTCTGATTTTTGATGAAACCTGTAAACTTCCTTAACCCTCCTGAACTGGCTAGATCTCTTACGTCTCACTTGCACTGCAGTGGCGCCCTATAGGTTGAGTAGTTGGTGGCGGCGCGCCGCTCTACCCGCCAGTTCAGGAGGGTTAAGGTTCCTATAATTCATTCTCTATCCATCCTATTGAATGTGGATTTTGTGAAGAAGTTGAAACACATCGTCACTAATTTCCAGAAATTTTCTCTTAATGAGCATTCGTTAGGAATACGATCTACTGTAAAATTTTCATATTCCTATTGGTCTTAAGTTGAGACTCTTAACAGTTTCGACTTTGCATTGTTATGTCAGTCAAGCTGAAAGGCTCCTTTTCCATATTTGCTAGGGCCGCCGTGGCCGCGACGCTGATGCCCTTTCCTTATGTCTTTTTTCATTTATGTCCTTGTGTTTCTTTCAAAAATGAATGATTCATGATTGTCCAATTATACTGAGTGTTAAGATTCATGGAAATAATGTTTATCGATTGACCGCCTGTTCAATGTCAATATTTCAATAAGTGATTCACTAATTCTGAATTCCTGTACTCTTTAAATGAGGTTCTAACTATAATAATGATCAAAATTCGATTCAGAGTACAAAACAATACCTATTAAATTTCTTACAACTCAAAATTTTTTAGTTTTTGCTGTTCCCTTTACTCTCCTTTGCACCTTTACAACAGCATTCAACTATTTTTCTGGAAAAATTATAAGGCCGATTCTGATGCTCTTCGGCTAATTCGGAGTATTTTCTCGTCATTCAGAATTTTTCTTACAATTTTATTAGATATTATAGGACTTGCAACTTGAATCATGCATCTGAAATTTTTTTAAATTTTCCAGAAAATTCCGAAATTCTTGTGAATTTTTTTTGGAGAATGTTTGTGAAATTGTTGAGAAAATCCGATAATTTCTCGAATTTTTCAAATTATGTTCCTCGTCAATCAATCGGAGTGCAATTGTTGGGAGCTCGTAACTCCTTCACATCAGTTTTATTTGGAAAATTTCACCTTTTCCAATCAATTGTTCTCCCATTATTTATTCAAAAATTCTCTAACATTTGAGAGATACCCGAAATTTCCACTAATTTTCGAAGAATTCAGTTTTCACGAATTTTCGATTTTCTCGAATTTTTTCAGACTATCTCATAATTGTTTTGAATTCTCCGGAAAACTGCTGTATCATCTTACATCCGGAAAAAACTGGCAATTCTCTGAATATCGTCATCTCATGTTTCCAGTACAAAATTGAATAGAAAAACTTGAAATGACAGTGTGAATTCTGCTCCATCCTTTTCCGTGAACCTCAAATTCATGTTAATGATTCACAGGATATGACACAAATATCGTCATTCTTGTTCTCTAAAATTTTTTAATTCGGATATTATTATTATTTTTTCAAAGTGAAACAATTGATCATGGTTTTCATTGTGTCGCATTCAAATTCAATAATCTCATAATTCTAGCTATTGATTCTAACCAACTTTGGAGAAAACCTTACTAAACGCAACATTAAGAAAGTTAAATAATTCTATTTTCGATTTGGACAATTATAATTGCTTCAGCATTCGAAACTATCGAGTAATTAGGTACAGAATATTCATATGTTGAATCAGAATTTAAGTAACTCGAGAGATTTTATCTTCATGCTGTTAAAAATGTTGCATTGCAGTAAATGTTCAGTAGTAATACCACGATACCTCCAAAATGATCGGATATTTCCGGATTATTTTGTTGCGTAGCAACGAGAGCGAGAAGTTTTGCAGATTTTTGTGCAAAACTTATCCCGATCGTTGATATGCAGGAAAACATGACGGAAATGTCCGATTAATTTTGGAGGTCGAGTGGTATTCGACTGATTATTTTTGGTAATCGGATCCTTCCCGAACTGATTCGTTTTGACTTTCTTTATGACTTTCTTTCACTCCACAGGATAATATTTGACAGTTATTGGGTTAGAGAAACAATTGCAGAGCTAGATGGAAATTATCAAAAGCTACAGGGAAATTATCCACAGCTCGGGGAAAAAAACCGCTGTAATTTTAATTGGGAAATATTTCATGTTATTGAATACTGAACTTTGATTGGCGCAGGGAAGGCCAGATCCGATTACCAAAAATAATCAGTGAAATTTTAAAATTCTTGACTTTTCCGTCTCAAACTCCTAACGATAAATATTAAACTGTCCTCAAAATTTGAATTGTTTTTTCAAGAGTATAACTGCTATTTACTCATAATTATGAGGGAATATTTAAAAAATAGGGAAAAAATAGAAAGTCGTCTTTTTGAAGTAGACTAATGGAATGATTGAAAAATTGCAATTTTTGGAGAGCATGACTCTTTTTTATAAATGATTCAATCATAATCAGTTTTTCACTGAAAAAATAATTTTTCCTGAATTGTAACGAATTTTTCTGCTCCCAGAATCGCACCAAAAATCAATTTTATGTGAAAAAAACTATATTTTCGGAAGCTTGAACCATTCTATTCTTCATTCCTAAGAAGGGAATATCGAAAAAAACCAAGTCTTTATGGAATTTTGTTCGAAAGTCGCTAATTATGCATTCTTTATTTTCGAGCTTTTCCTAGCAAATTCAATTAATAATTTAGATGATTGAAAATCTTTGAATGAAAAGTATTCTATTTTTATTCCATGCAGTAAATTCAATATTCTTTGATTTTTTGATCATTATTCTTTGATTTTTTTAACGTAATGATATCATTACACAAAGTCTCTAAATCCAAAATTCGAATAAAAAAATTAAAATCAAATTATTTTTGGAAATTACGAATTTGGTCTGAATGGTCTAGAAAAATATGGGATTCATTTTACTTTTGTATGAAAATAGTGAAATTGCTCTATTTTGACATTTAATAATTGCTGCTTCCGACTGGAAGCATTGTATTTTTGAAATTAGAAAATTCTAATTTTTATAACAGGATAACTACTTGTGGCCTCAGAAGCTTGAATATGCTATTTTGAGACCATGTCCGGACGATGTCCGGACGTGTGTGTGTGTGTGTGTGTGTGCGTATGCGACCGATCGTTTTTCGACGATAACTGAAACAATAATCGTTTAAATGAATGTAATTATGATTTAAAATATTCTTCCCAATGCCATCTTGACCAATTTCGACCATGAGATTGATTGCATTATCTGTTGGTGAAAAAAATTATTTTAAAACCAATATTTTTAGGGCAATGTTGACGGCCAACATTGACGCAATGTCAACAAATTGAATAAATCATTGAATTCGATTTAAAATGCATTGTTATAGAAATCCCATGCGGAAGCGATTTACTAATTTAGGAGCAAAAATATATTGACTATGTTGTGACGAAAGCAATTTACCACTTCTATTTTATTCCACTCCTGACATTCAAGTTCACATAATAATCAATCATTCCAACTCCCTTTCAATTTTCAACATTCATCACCAAAATGCAATTTTCCATTCCCCTCATTATACACAAATCCATAAGTAGAAAATATGCATTGATGCACTGATGTATTTAATGTATACACGATGTTTGTTTCTTAATTTAGGTTACAATTCCGTTTTGTAATCAACGCGCACTTTTTTAAATAGCGCCGTCGGGGCCGCATTGCTCAATTTCATGGAAGTTCTTATGAGAATGCGTCTTTCGCTTTCATTGGGGTAAAATGGGTATTTTCTCACCTCATTCGATTTCTTAGGGGTAAAATGGGTATTTACTAACCACATACGATTTCATTGGGGCAAAATGGGTTTTTCTAGTTCTCATACGCTTTAATTGGGGCAAAATAGGTTTTTCGTGAACTCATACGATTTCTTAGGGGCTAAATGGGTATTTTCTGACCTCATACGATTTCATGGAGGCAAAATGGGTATTCTGTGAACTTTTACGATTTCATTGGGGCAAAATGGGTATTCTGTGAACGTTTACGATTTCATTGGGGTAAAATGGGTATTTACTGACCTCTTACGATTTCATGGGGGCAAAATAGATTTTTCGTGAACTCTTACGATTTCATGGGGGTAAAATGGATTGCGTATAGAATTTATATAGGATTTTCGCATATGATATTCGGATATTTTGATACGGATATTTTTAATACAAATTATTTCTATACGATTTCTATAGGTTTGATCCTATACGACACACTACCTCATGTATATAAACATTTCATATGGAGATGCACCATTTCTCTACGTTTTTCTCTAGAGCGTTTACATATCTTTCATACGAAAACAAAAAATTACGTCAAAATTTATGTGTAGAAATAAATCGTATAGAAAATATTCCTATACAAATATCCGATCATCATGTACGTAAATTCTATCGGGTTTTATACGCAATCCGTGAAGAAAATTTTTATAAGATTAATAAGTTATTTCTTCAGAAATCTTCCAAAATGTTCAGAAGTTCTCCGTAAAAAGTTTTGAAGAAATTGTATCCGAAAGATAGGTTGAGATGTCTGAAAATCATCTAAAAAGTTGAAATTTACAATTCCCTCAGAAAATGTTATATAACCTTTTGCCTGTAATTTGTGAAACATTTACAAAATATATGCAAATGGTTCCAATAAAGGTACCTCTAAGTTATGCTGAAACAGCTCAGAATAAATTGAAACGTAAATATTTGCTATTCCCTCCGGTATTTTTTATACGAGGTATTAGTTCCTATTTGTAGGAAATAGAACTGATTCCATGGAAAAGCGTGGAAATATGGAGGAACATCTCCGTACACAGAGAGAAAAAAAAAATAAAAATTACCCTTCTGGTAGGATAAAAGTGTACTGAAAGTTATTTCTATGCTAAATTCTGATAAAAATTAATTATCAAAAAATAAAATTTATAATAAATAAAATAAATTTTACCCTTCCGCAGGATAACTTTTTGAAAGAAGCGGCAAATTCATCATTCATTTGGTGAATTTTATGTTGACATGAATAAATAATCTCCCTACGAAGGATAAAGATTATCATTACCCGGTCAATTATTGAAAACCGTGAGATAATTTTTACCCTTCCAAAGAATAACTTCTACCTCGATAAAGTAGAAATCCCGTGCTTCGGCCCCGGTTGGTAATTCTCCAGTTCCTGTATTAACGTAACCAGTGCGTCGATCAACAAGTGCAACGTATTATTCGATGATTACAATACGAGATACGACCTATTATACGTAATATATGAAAGTATTAATAAAGTGATAATAATCAACTCGTCCAAGCTGTTCAGGTGGGGCACAAACTTAATTATTGAGGTAAGTAAACGTTGATGAAATAATTTTAAAATGATTTGGAACATGTGGTTTGCATTGTCTTACTTCAAAATGTGATTATTTTTTTTTTATTTTTATCCATCTTTCGACGTTTCCCTCATATGTTTCGTAGTGTCCGAACGTATCCTGATAAGCCATTCTAAATTATTAACAACAATTTAAACAATTTCCATCAATTGAAGGCGTTCATTCATATGCCTCTTTGATGTCATAATAAGTACATCTTCCATTGCACCAAAATCCCACATCCAGAACTCTTGATTAACCTAACTTTTTTTTTAAATAACTTTTTAACTTTCGCTTGTTGGTTCTTCGGAATTTCTTTCAGATTGTGCTCTTGATGGCAAGGGTATTTTACATTAGATCTTAAACTATTCCGCATGAAGATAGAATTCCAAATAATCGACGTGAATGTGCAGTGACCTTCGATGATGTAACTCGATTTCAGTGACATCAAACTCTCGAGTTATAATGGTATCTGATTTCAAATTCGACATTTTTATCCATTGTCCGTTTATCTCGATAATGGGCAATGTTATGAGAAAATGTCAGAAGACCTTTTTTGTGGGGGAAGAAATTCTCATCAAAAAAGGTCTTTTGATATTTTCTTCTAATATCGCTCATTATCTAAAATTTAACGAGATGAAAAAAATCCAAGTAAAAAATTATTGAATTCATGCCAACAGTGATAGGCATTTATCTCGGTACTGAGTCATTTTGGAAAAAAATATCAGAAGACCTTTTTTACAGGGTAGGAAATTCCCAACGAAAAAGGTTTTTTGACATTTTCTCCCAACATCGCTTGTTATCGAGATAATCGGAAATTTAACGAGATGAAAAAAATCCAAATAAAAAAATCATGGAATCCATGCGGACAGTGAGGCGCATTCATCTCGGTAATGAGTCATTTTGGGAGGAAATCTCAGAAAATCTTTTTTGTAGTTGAAAGAATTTGGTACCAAAAATGTCTCTCAACATTCCCTCCTAAAATCACTCAATGGCGAGATAATTCGACATTTTACAACATGTAAGGAACTGACGTTTGACTCGGTACCACTTGACTACTAAAATAAAACTCACACATCATATTCTTATTTCTCATTTTCATTTTTCAGGGTGATCCCGGGTACCTGATACACCCAAAGGGAGATGTATTGTCAAGAAATGGTTCTGAGATTTATGCACAATAAATTTTTATATAATGCTATTAAGATTCTTCATTTTTCATTCCCTACCCACTCTTCTTTCAGATTTATCTATCGTTGGATCAGATGATCCAAGAACTAAAATACAAATTGATTAATCAATCACCACGAAATGTATCAACTGACAATAAAACTATATAAACGGAAACATTCAAAATCATTTTCAAAAACTACATTTTGGAGTAAATTATTTACATCATCATTTCTTTGAGAGTTTTCGTAATTTTCTCAAGGTTTTTTGTCGTAAATGAGTTCATAACGATCATTATTACATATTTTATGAATTTGGTCATCAAAAGTTGGGATTAAACGTTTTGGAAATGTGAAAGTATTTCATTTCCATTTTGGAGCACTTTTTTCTCTGAATAATTTATTGCCAATGTGAGGACGTCTTTGGGCTCGTCGTCAGCGTACTGGCCCTATAAATCAAAGCGTCCCAGTAGCGCATGTTCGAGTCCCGGTGATGAAAGATTTTTTCATCGTCGGAAAACGAACCCAGTGCATGTGGAGTTAGTTATGTGGAGTTAGATATAAGTTAGCTTAGAGGCAAGTGCGGGTAGGGAATTAGGCTGGGGTACCGCGTAGGTACTGGGACGGGTAGGTAAAAGACCACAACGGTCATACCATCTGGCACCACCCAATTTTTACTGCCAATGTTTAGAGGAATATTTACAAGGCAATTAATACCTCCTCCGAGGACGACAAACAATAATCCGTCAAGAGAGATTGACAAAACTGTGATGAATACAACGATAAACCAAATGATTTGGCTGGAAGGCACCCCACTGATACATAACCCCAAAGAAATCCCGAAGAATATCCCCCACTCTTCTCTCAAACTTGAAGTAGAACATTTATGAGAGATAAATGAATTAGAACAATGAAAATACTTATTCTGCAAATTCAAAATTGATATAGAAAAGTATTCCACTCCAATCCGAAAATCAATTCGAAAGAATATTCAAAAACATGAAAACTAAATTGAATTAATGTACTTGATTACTGTCACGCCATTGGGCTTTCACTTTTTATGGAGTAGATGATAAAAATTATCATGAGCGTGAGGATAGCAAATTTCGTGTCACCTCTGCATCATAACTTTTATGTGTTTAGGCTGGAATCAATGGCTGAACCCAGAAGACAGCTGTAGCACCATAAGAAAAAAAAAAACTAGGTGAGGTTAGTATAATTTTTACCCTTCCGTTGGGTAACTTTTATACGGATATTTAGAAAAACTCAGGATTTTCGATAATTTTTATTCTCTGACACTGATAATTCTTATCCGGATAAGGATAAATATCATTCAACTATGTCAGTCAAAATTTATCCACTCGAAGGATATTTATTGAATCGTGAACTTTTCCTACAGAATTACCCTTCCAGAAGCATAATTTTTATCTAGATTTGAGCATAATTTTTATCCAACTTTTCTCTCCGTGTAGAACCGCCAAAATAACGACACCATTCCTTGGCAGTCCTGTAATGCCGTACGTTTTTCTATTAAAATTATTCATATAATAATAACAGAATATAATAATAACAGAATATAATAATTTCGATAATAATTGTCGACTTGGAAAAAAATGAATAATTAATACACAGAAGCATTGGAGAGGACGTCTTTGGGCTCGTCGTCAGCGTGCTGGCCCTATAAACCAAAGCGTCCCAGTAGCGCAGGTTCGAGTCCCGGTGATGAAAGATTTTTTCATCGCCGGAAAAACGAACCCAGTGCATGTGGAGTTAGTTATGTGGAGTTAGATATAAGTTAGCTTAGAGGCAAGTGCGGGTAGGGAATTAGGCTGGGGTACCGCGTAGGTACTGGGACGGGTAGGTAAAAGACCACAACGGTCATACCATCTGGCACCACCCAATTTTTTTTACACAGAAGCATTGTGACCTAGACGAAAATTACGAAAAAGATTCATAATGATATTATTAAAAGAAAAATATAAAAGACTTACCTGTCTGGTAGGATATGTCCCCTAAATCCGTTATTTCCTCAACGAATCACAGTTGCAACGGATCAGTATGTAGTACAGGGATGAAGTTATCAAATCTCTATACGATGTAGTTTTGAAGATAGCCGTGGTCCAAATCGTGATGATATGCATGTGATATCGAATTTATGTGATGAGTTTTATTAAGTTTTATTAAGTTTTATTAAGTTCACAGAATACCGATCTTGTCGCTATGGAATCGTAGAAGTACACGAAACACCCATTCTACCCCTATAAAAGCGTAAGACTTCACGAAAAACCTATTTTACCCCCATGAAATCGTAGGAGTACACAAAACACCCATTTTGCCCCAATGAAATTGTAAAAGTTCACAGAATACCCATTTTGCCCCAACAAAATCGTAGTGGTTCAGAAAAGACCCATTTTACCCCGAAAAAATCGAATGACGTCAGAAAATATCCATTTTGCCCTTATGATATCGTATAATTCAATGTGCTTGAGATATCGCCCTAATTGATTGTCTTAAACTAAATACTATTTTGAATTTATCTATACAATTCTAACTCGAAAACTCTTCTTTACCCCAAAAACCATACTCCGTGGCGTCACTACCGGATGGCGCCCTCTCGTCTCAATCTTTTCATCAACACAAACTGTCATTTTTTTTTTCTAATCTCGATACTCGACAGTTGTTTGCATTGATAATCAATATTTTTATTTTCGATTAAAAAAAGTCGATACCTCGCAATTTCGAGATATGATCTTCTCCTTTAGTATAATTGATTATAAAAAAATATATATACTATATATATACTATATAGTAGCGCCACCCCAAGGGGTTGTTGATGCCCCTTTCTTTATGTCGTTTTTCCTAGGTAGGTGGAAAAAATGACCGAAAATGAACGGTCATTTTGTCGTTTACCACACACGATGAGTGTTACTACACATCGGCTATTTTTTCGTACATTCGTTTTCCTACCAGATCGAATATTTCTTTTTTCAATTAATTTTTCATAATCATTCTCATTGCAAATTGTAATAAATGACTCGCTGATATGTTAATTGCTATGCTCACTGAATAATATTTCAATCATAATTACTATCTAATTCCTTCTCAAACATAACCCAGAGTACTCTAGTAAAAGTGCGTGCCAACACAGTTATAAATTGTGTCAATTACTCTATTTTCCTTTGACCTAAACGGTTTGGACAATTATAATGTTTACTCGATAATTCAATTAATCTGTTGTTTATATCATCAATATAATTCCGTGCTTAGAATATCATCACAGCATATTTTGAGTTCCAAATTATGAATTAAAACTTTAATTGATAGTTTGACTTCCGACCCATCCTTTCCACCAAACTTCCCATTCGTTGTTGGCCAATTCTATCAATATTCTGAACGGGACGCTCACTACATCACACAGCGCCTAGATACATGAGCATGATTCCCTGTTCCTCCGCACCCCTCACACTGATAGGGGTTGGTAGTATTTTTCGTTCAAAAGTAGTTTCGATTTAGTAGTAAAAAAAAATTATGTATGATTTTTCCGAACACAAATTTAAAAAAATAGTGTGCGTAACACGTGTGAAAAGGAAAAATCTTAAACTTGTGTGTTTACTATGTTATTATGTCATCAGGCGATAAAAGTATTATCTGGCGAATGTGGCATTATAATCCGAGCCGAAGGCGAAGATTATAATCACATTCGCCAGATAATGCTTTTATCGCCGTGACATACGATATTTCATGTAGTTGGGCTCGAAAACCGCGATCTAACCGAGCGAAGCGAGGTTAAAATCGCGGTTTTTTCAGGCCTAATGACATAAAATATTTTTCGGGACAGTCGTAAGACACTCGCAGCCTCGCGATAGACTCGACTAGCCAAACCGAGGGCTCTTCGGCTGGGCTGGTGCCCCCTTCGTTTGGCTCATCTCGTCTATCGCTCGGCTGTGCGTGTCCTACAGCTGTCCCTAGAAACTTTACTCGTATTAACATTCCGCTTTTTTCACACTTGTAATAAAATATACTATTTTCTAAGGATGCAAAGAATAAATCTATAGGAATCAATGCGGAAATGGTTTTTGTTGGGACTTTCATGGAAGACCAAAAAGAATCTATCCTCTTTCTTTTTTCTTCATCAGATTCTAAGAGATTGACATGATAATCTCCATGAAAATTCTTTGTCAGCCTACTGAAGTTTGATTAAATCAATTTTTACGCTGATGTTTTAGGTCCAGAGGGCTATGACAGTACAAAATTAGCGATGGATTATCACGCAGTGGGCTGGGGTGAATGTGCCGCCGAAGTGGGCCGTTATCTGGTTACAATGGAGGGTCTTGATGAGCGAGATCCACTCAGATTGAGATTATTGTCACACTTGCAGAGTTTTCATAGAGAGCATCCACCTAGCAATGCCCCGATTGCATCCCAGACTTCGTCACTAACATCAACATCGGCAGCTACAAGTTATGATGGATCAGGTATGCCATCAAGTGGAGGCAGTGTAGGACCCATTCTTGGTGGTGGCGCTCTGGGCTGGGGACAGTATCCAACGCAGTATCCCCAGCAGCAGCATGGGAAGCCTTATCGTCCTTGGGGTGCAGAACTAGCGTATTGAAAAAGGAAAATAAAGGATAAATAAAGTTAAACAAATGGACATTTAAAGAATTGAAGAAGAAAGTACGATAGTTCAGTATTGAAAATAACTAATTGGATAAGATTAACTGTTAAATGAATGGGTTTATAAAAAAAATGAAAATCTCTTTCTTCAGGTGGGCAAATTTCACAATTTTTGCAAGTGTAGTCTAGCACAAATTGAAAAACGTTTGGGCCTATTGTAATATTCATTTTCAGTTATTAACTGCGATGATGAATTTAGCTACTGCTTGGGAAAACCTCTTAAACCCATACATTTTTTAGTGATAGGCCATAGTTGAAAAGTATTACTGAAAGAGATTCTTTGAATTATTCCTCTGAGTATTGATCTTTGTCAAGATGAATCAATAATTAGTAATGCAATTTTTGGAGACAAATAATTGCTTAATGACTCCCCTGCAAAATTGAGTAACAGAATGAAAACGAGAATTAAGCCCATAGTAAAAAATTTTCGGCATTTGGACTAAATGTGAAATTCTGAATAGGCCAAAATCAGGTCGGGCGTGGTCAAATATATCTGGATTGTTGACGGGGATGAAAACATAGAAATGAAAGTAAAGAAAAAACTCAGGAACAAAACAAAAAATTCTAATTTGAGTGAGAATATACATAGTCATAAATAAGTATCATCAAGCGTGAAGAAGAATTAAAATTCAAAAAATTATTTATTTGAAAAATCAGAAAGAGCAGTTGACTCTGTTTGTATAGTGTAAATAGGGAAAATTGTATATAATAATACGGAATCGATTGCTCTCTCTTGGAACCCTTCCTTTACCTAATCTTCCTGTATATTTATTGAAGTATATGAGATAAGATTTGTAAGTTTCATTGAAGTGCCATTTGACATATCTAGATCCATGTGTGAAAGAATATTTTTGCAATATGAATTTTTAATAAAAATATTGCGTTTAAGTAGATTGGAAATTTATTCTCTTTTAGTTTGGTCCTTCCCAAAGGTGTTTTTATATAGTAAAACCCTACTTATCTTTTTCATGCTTTATGGACCCCTTTTCGCTTGTTATTCATGAGCGCTGGAGTTCACATTTTTCTGTTTTTTTGCCAATTTTAGTAGTTTTGAAGGGAATAATCATTTCATAAAAATTGGAAAGAGTTATTTCCGCACAAGGGAGAAAGAAAACCGGTTCTAATTATCGAAGTTTACTTCTCTACCCTTCGACAACCAATTTGTAGTGGATTTTCGGCTGCACGTGACCATTGTTCCCTTTTTATTTCTTGAAAAAAATGGTTGCTAGAATACGATCGATACGCGGGGGAACATGTTTTGTGCGTTGTTGGTTGGAGATGTAGAAACTTGAGAATTATTGGAATCATTTAGTTTGATGAATCATTTGTGCCAACAAAATGCTTTCTATCGATCACTCATTTCTTGATCTAATTTTGACTCTTTTTAGAGTCAAAAAATTCTTCACGTTTAGATTCCATAATGAACGTGTTGCAAGCCTAACGCAATGCGTATTTGACAATGATCATTCCACTGTGTCTCGATTATTCTTAATATTGTCAGTGTTGAATCATCTTTGCGAGGCGACCATTGTAGAATATACAACAACAAATTTTATATAATTGACATTTAATTGCTATTAGTATTTTATCGTGGAATGATGAGGGGTACAAGCACGGAAAGAGAATATTAAATCTCGTATTCTAGATTACCAATTCGGTAATATTAAATATTCGGTATTAAATATTACCGATTTGGTGATATACAATATCTCTGAAATGGGAATAAAATTACCAACTCGGAACAAGTATGACCAATATTTGTTTTGATTAGGTGAAATTTTTTTTTCTTTAACGAATATTACGGAGATGACTTGTTTTTGCTCCCGAATAGAAACCTTGTATTTGACTGATTTTTCAGTTTTCTAATTTTGATCGCAAATGCTCTAGAATGTTATGAAACGTGAAGAAATGATGTTTTTAGAGTCATATCGGTATGTATTGTAACATGATAGAATATCATGTACTGTTCCTCGCTGGAACTGCCCGCGGTTCATTGGGGGGAAAATTAGTATTTCAACCCCAGCGAGGAGTCGGATCATCCAAGGCCACTTTTACAATTTTCTTTTTTTTTGACATTATTGGCTTCCAGATGGATGCCGCGTTTGGTTTCAGCGTTGCGCCGACGTTTCGCAAACATTGCAGTCTGCATCTTCAGGGCTATGAGCTCCGATTCTGAGCTTCTTCTTCTTCTTCTAATCCTAATAGCTTTATCCTCTCACTCTTGTAGAGGCAAGTGCCAATAGCTCTCTAGTAACTGTTTCTCTTTCGTCATAGATTGACTGCTGAAAACCCCTTTAGAGGGCAGCACCAATTCCATTCAAAATTTGGTCTTCTTTCTTCTCAACTCCTTCCTTAATAAGTTAATTCTCAGACAAAACAGATGCAACATGGGTAACAATATTTATGATATGGACAATCACACTTAGATGAAAAATAAATTAAATTTTGACTTGATAGATTTCTAGCAATTCTGATATGATTTTAATAACTTTAAAATGATCTTCTAAAAAGATTTTTTGAATATTATCGTTCGGATTGATACCAAGATCTCTCGAATCAGAAATTAGTTTACCTCTGTTGATTGAATAATGTTCACATTCACAAATAACATGATCTAGGTCTATAAACATAGCACCGCAAATACAAATAGGGTTATCAATAATATTTTTCCTATACAAATGACTGTGTAAAAGCATATGATTCGATTTAATTCTATTTTCCTTTGTAATCGTACTTTTTGTCATTTTTGATTTTAAAAATCATTGTTTGTTATAAGAAAAGTCTTTAACATTTTCAAAGAAAAAAATACCTATTCCTTTCGATTTACTCTGATAACGCAGAAAAACATTGGAGTCTTGGACTAAATGCTTTTTCAAATCATGTTCTAATTCTTTCCAGTAAATTTTATTATCATTATAAAATTCTACTTCCTCTCCCGCTTGATTGGCTAATCTATCTGCACTTTCGTTTATGGTAATACCCTTGTGTGCTGGAATGTACATTAATTTAACTTCAATATTCTCACTTCCCAACTCATGTATCTTATTTTTAATTTAAACAATCTCAGCATAAGCGTTAGGATCGAGAAATTTTGGCCCCAATTATTTTATTGTAGTCAACGAATCTGAACAAATCAAATTAAGATTATAGGAAGATATAAGATTATATCTTCAATCATTTTCAAAACTTCCAAAATGGCGACTACTTCAGCATAGTAACTTGAACATGGACTTGGTAGTTTTATTTTCAACTTCCCGATCTATAGGGAAGTTATTGTAATGATCCCGAAAATCGAAAGTGGAAATTTTACGATATCTCCACATTTCATGACCCCTAGAATTTTTCTATGACGTTTTCAAAGACATGTCTGTGTGAGTGTGTGTGTGTGCGTGTTTTTTTTTTATGGAGGTTTAGGAAAATCTTCAAAAGATTCTGGTAAAGTGATGTTAAAAACCAGATCTGGGATTCTTACCCAGTAAAAACTCTGTTTTCCTCTTTTTTACCTGTAATCGTCCATGCCCATTGCCCTCGCGGCACCACCGTTAAGTATTACTTCGCGAGAGGGGTCTCAGCTATTTGCTCTTCCTTGTTATTCTACCTAATGTACGTCCCCCTACCCTACTAAAATGTTGTACGTGGGTAGGAGGTTCCAATAGATTTCTCACCTATACAACATCCTTGCGCTTCCGTTCCTCACTCCTGAGCTCCTTCATGAACTTAGCCGTGAACTCGGTCGTTGCGTCCCATGCTGCCTGCGATGGCAGCATTGCTTCTACCACATTCTCGGGGGACATTTCCCTTCCGAGGTCCGACTCGCAAGTATTCCGGATGTCACTGAAACGGGGGCATGCGCAGAAGACGTGCTCCGCGTTCTCATCCACTCCTGTGCAGGTCGGGAACTCCGGGGAATCTTCATGTCTGAATTTATGGAGATATTCCCGGAAGCATCCGTGCCCTGAAAGCATTTGACAAAGACAGTAATTGACTTCTCCATGAGTTCGACTTACCCAGACAGCTACTTGTGGGATCAGATGATGGGTCCATCTACCCTTGGTCGAGTCGGCCCATTTCTGCTGCCATTAGCTTAAGCTGTTTCGCTTCTCTTCCGTCGCCAGTTCTTCGAAACTGAGCGTTTCCGATCTCTTCCACCGGTACAGAGATTTTCGCTCCTCAGCTAGTACCTCTATGGGTGGCATCCCCGCAATGACACATACGGCATCCGCAGAGACTGTGCGATATGCACTCGCAGCCCTGAGGGCACTTATTCGGTAGATTGGTGCAATCTTCCGCTGTACTTCCTTTAACTGAAGTGCATCGCCCCAGATGGCAATAGCGTACGTGAAAACGGACGTTACCACTGACGATAGTAATGCTCGTCTCCTCTGCTTGGGTNGAATTTATGTGATGAGTTTTATTAAGTTTTATTAAGTTTTATTAAGTTCACAGAATACCGATCTTGTCGCTATGGAATCGTAGAAGTACACGAAACACCCATTCTACCCCTATAAAAGCGTAAGACTTCACGAAAAACCTATTTTACCCCCATGAAATCGTAGGAGTACACAAAACACCCATTTTGCCCCAATGAAATTGTAAAAGTTCACAGAATACCCATTTTGCCCCAACAAAATCGTAGTGGTTCAGAAAAGACCCATTTTACCCCGAAAAAATCGAATGACGTCAGAAAATATCCATTTTGCCCTTATGATATCGTATAATTCAATGTGCTTGAGATATCGCCCTAATTGATTGTCTTAAACTAAATACTATTTTGAATTTATCTATACAATTCTAACTCGAAAACTCTTCTTTACCCCAAAAACCATACTCCGTGGCGTCACTACCGGATGGCGCCCTCTCGTCTCAATCTTTTCATCAACACAAACTGTCATTTTTTTTTTCTAATCTCGATACTCGACAGTTGTTTGCATTGATAATCAATATTTTTATTTTCGATTAAAAAAAGTCGATACCTCGCAATTTCGAGATATGATCTTCTCCTTTAGTATAATTGATTATAAAAAAATATATATACTATATATATACTATATAGTAGCGCCACCCCAAGGGGTTGTTGATGCCCCTTTCTTTATGTCGTTTTTCCTAGGTAGGTGGAAAAAATGACCGAAAATGAACGGTCATTTTGTCGTTTACCACACACGATGAGTGTTACTACACATCGGCTATTTTTTCGTACATTCGTTTTCCTACCAGATCGAATATTTCTTTTTTCAATTAATTTTTCATAATCATTCTCATTGCAAATTGTAATAAATGACTCGCTGATATGTTAATTGCTATGCTCACTGAATAATATTTCAATCATAATTACTATCTAATTCCTTCTCAAACATAACCCAGAGTACTCTAGTAAAAGTGCGTGCCAACACAGTTATAAATTGTGTCAATTACTCTATTTTCCTTTGACCTAAACGGTTTGGACAATTATAATGTTTACTCGATAATTCAATTAATCTGTTGTTTATATCATCAATATAATTCCGTGCTTAGAATATCATCACAGCATATTTTGAGTTCCAAATTATGAATTAAAACTTTAATTGATAGTTTGACTTCCGACCCATCCTTTCCACCAAACTTCCCATTCGTTGTTGGCCAATTCTATCAATATTCTGAACGGGACGCTCACTACATCACACAGCGCCTAGATACATGAGCATGATTCCCTGTTCCTCCGCACCCCTCACACTGATAGGGGTTGGTAGTATTTTTCGTTCAAAAGTAGTTTCGATTTAGTAGTAAAAAAAAATTATGTATGATTTTTCCGAACACAAATTTAAAAAAATAGTGTGCGTAACACGTGTGAAAAGGAAAAATCTTAAACTTGTGTGTTTACTATGTTATTATGTCATCAGGCGATAAAAGTATTATCTGGCGAATGTGGCATTATAATCCGAGCCGAAGGCGAAGATTATAATCACATTCGCCAGATAATGCTTTTATCGCCGTGACATACGATATTTCATGTAGTTGGGCTCGAAAACCGCGATCTAACCGAGCGAAGCGAGGTTAAAATCGCGGTTTTTTCAGGCCTAATGACATAAAATATTTTTCGGGACAGTCGTAAGACACTCGCAGCCTCGCGATAGACTCGACTAGCCAAACCGAGGGCTCTTCGGCTGGGCTGGTGCCCCCTTCGTTTGGCTCATCTCGTCTATCGCTCGGCTGTGCGTGTCCTACAGCTGTCCCTAGAAACTTTACTCGTATTAACATTCCGCTTTTTTCACACTTGTAATAAAATATACTATTTTCTAAGGATGCAAAGAATAAATCTATAGGAATCAATGCGGAAATGGTTTTTGTTGGGACTTTCATGGAAGACCAAAAAGAATCTATCCTCTTTCTTTTTTCTTCATCAGATTCTAAGAGATTGACATGATAATCTCCATGAAAATTCTTTGTCAGCCTACTGAAGTTTGATTAAATCAATTTTTACGCTGATGTTTTAGGTCCAGAGGGCTATGACAGTACAAAATTAGCGATGGATTATCACGCAGTGGGCTGGGGTGAATGTGCCGCCGAAGTGGGCCGTTATCTGGTTACAATGGAGGGTCTTGATGAGCGAGATCCACTCAGATTGAGATTATTGTCACACTTGCAGAGTTTTCATAGAGAGCATCCACCTAGCAATGCCCCGATTGCATCCCAGACTTCGTCACTAACATCAACATCGGCAGCTACAAGTTATGATGGATCAGGTATGCCATCAAGTGGAGGCAGTGTAGGACCCATTCTTGGTGGTGGCGCTCTGGGCTGGGGACAGTATCCAACGCAGTATCCCCAGCAGCAGCATGGGAAGCCTTATCGTCCTTGGGGTGCAGAACTAGCGTATTGAAAAAGGAAAATAAAGGATAAATAAAGTTAAACAAATGGACATTTAAAGAATTGAAGAAGAAAGTACGATAGTTCAGTATTGAAAATAACTAATTGGATAAGATTAACTGTTAAATGAATGGGTTTATAAAAAAAATGAAAATCTCTTTCTTCAGGTGGGCAAATTTCACAATTTTTGCAAGTGTAGTCTAGCACAAATTGAAAAACGTTTGGGCCTATTGTAATATTCATTTTCAGTTATTAACTGCGATGATGAATTTAGCTACTGCTTGGGAAAACCTCTTAAACCCATACATTTTTTAGTGATAGGCCATAGTTGAAAAGTATTACTGAAAGAGATTCTTTGAATTATTCCTCTGAGTATTGATCTTTGTCAAGATGAATCAATAATTAGTAATGCAATTTTTGGAGACAAATAATTGCTTAATGACTCCCCTGCAAAATTGAGTAACAGAATGAAAACGAGAATTAAGCCCATAGTAAAAAATTTTCGGCATTTGGACTAAATGTGAAATTCTGAATAGGCCAAAATCAGGTCGGGCGTGGTCAAATATATCTGGATTGTTGACGGGGATGAAAACATAGAAATGAAAGTAAAGAAAAAACTCAGGAACAAAACAAAAAATTCTAATTTGAGTGAGAATATACATAGTCATAAATAAGTATCATCAAGCGTGAAGAAGAATTAAAATTCAAAAAATTATTTATTTGAAAAATCAGAAAGAGCAGTTGACTCTGTTTGTATAGTGTAAATAGGGAAAATTGTATATAATAATACGGAATCGATTGCTCTCTCTTGGAACCCTTCCTTTACCTAATCTTCCTGTATATTTATTGAAGTATATGAGATAAGATTTGTAAGTTTCATTGAAGTGCCATTTGACATATCTAGATCCATGTGTGAAAGAATATTTTTGCAATATGAATTTTTAATAAAAATATTGCGTTTAAGTAGATTGGAAATTTATTCTCTTTTAGTTTGGTCCTTCCCAAAGGTGTTTTTATATAGTAAAACCCTACTTATCTTTTTCATGCTTTATGGACCCCTTTTCGCTTGTTATTCATGAGCGCTGGAGTTCACATTTTTCTGTTTTTTTGCCAATTTTAGTAGTTTTGAAGGGAATAATCATTTCATAAAAATTGGAAAGAGTTATTTCCGCACAAGGGAGAAAGAAAACCGGTTCTAATTATCGAAGTTTACTTCTCTACCCTTCGACAACCAATTTGTAGTGGATTTTCGGCTGCACGTGACCATTGTTCCCTTTTTATTTCTTGAAAAAAATGGTTGCTAGAATACGATCGATACGCGGGGGAACATGTTTTGTGCGTTGTTGGTTGGAGATGTAGAAACTTGAGAATTATTGGAATCATTTAGTTTGATGAATCATTTGTGCCAACAAAATGCTTTCTATCGATCACTCATTTCTTGATCTAATTTTGACTCTTTTTAGAGTCAAAAAATTCTTCACGTTTAGATTCCATAATGAACGTGTTGCAAGCCTAACGCAATGCGTATTTGACAATGATCATTCCACTGTGTCTCGATTATTCTTAATATTGTCAGTGTTGAATCATCTTTGCGAGGCGACCATTGTAGAATATACAACAACAAATTTTATATAATTGACATTTAATTGCTATTAGTATTTTATCGTGGAATGATGAGGGGTACAAGCACGGAAAGAGAATATTAAATCTCGTATTCTAGATTACCAATTCGGTAATATTAAATATTCGGTATTAAATATTACCGATTTGGTGATATACAATATCTCTGAAATGGGAATAAAATTACCAACTCGGAACAAGTATGACCAATATTTGTTTTGATTAGGTGAAATTTTTTTTTCTTTAACGAATATTACGGAGATGACTTGTTTTTGCTCCCGAATAGAAACCTTGTATTTGACTGATTTTTCAGTTTTCTAATTTTGATCGCAAATGCTCTAGAATGTTATGAAACGTGAAGAAATGATGTTTTTAGAGTCATATCGGTATGTATTGTAACATGATAGAATATCATGTACTGTTCCTCGCTGGAACTGCCCGCGGTTCATTGGGGGGAAAATTAGTATTTCAACCCCAGCGAGGAGTCGGATCATCCAAGGCCACTTTTACAATTTTCTTTTTTTTTGACATTATTGGCTTCCAGATGGATGCCGCGTTTGGTTTCAGCGTTGCGCCGACGTTTCGCAAACATTGCAGTCTGCATCTTCAGGGCTATGAGCTCCGATTCTGAGCTTCTTCTTCTTCTTCTAATCCTAATAGCTTTATCCTCTCACTCTTGTAGAGGCAAGTGCCAATAGCTCTCTAGTAACTGTTTCTCTTTCGTCATAGATTGACTGCTGAAAACCCCTTTAGAGGGCAGCACCAATTCCATTCAAAATTTGGTCTTCTTTCTTCTCAACTCCTTCCTTAATAAGTTAATTCTCAGACAAAACAGATGCAACATGGGTAACAATATTTATGATATGGACAATCACACTTAGATGAAAAATAAATTAAATTTTGACTTGATAGATTTCTAGCAATTCTGATATGATTTTAATAACTTTAAAATGATCTTCTAAAAAGATTTTTTGAATATTATCGTTCGGATTGATACCAAGATCTCTCGAATCAGAAATTAGTTTACCTCTGTTGATTGAATAATGTTCACATTCACAAATAACATGATCTAGGTCTATAAACATAGCACCGCAAATACAAATAGGGTTATCAATAATATTTTTCCTATACAAATGACTGTGTAAAAGCATATGATTCGATTTAATTCTATTTTCCTTTGTAATCGTACTTTTTGTCATTTTTGATTTTAAAAATCATTGTTTGTTATAAGAAAAGTCTTTAACATTTTCAAAGAAAAAAATACCTATTCCTTTCGATTTACTCTGATAACGCAGAAAAACATTGGAGTCTTGGACTAAATGCTTTTTCAAATCATGTTCTAATTCTTTCCAGTAAATTTTATTATCATTATAAAATTCTACTTCCTCTCCCGCTTGATTGGCTAATCTATCTGCACTTTCGTTTATGGTAATACCCTTGTGTGCTGGAATGTACATTAATTTAACTTCAATATTCTCACTTCCCAACTCATGTATCTTATTTTTAATTTAAACAATCTCAGCATAAGCGTTAGGATCGAGAAATTTTGGCCCCAATTATTTTATTGTAGTCAACGAATCTGAACAAATCAAATTAAGATTATAGGAAGATATAAGATTATATCTTCAATCATTTTCAAAACTTCCAAAATGGCGACTACTTCAGCATAGTAACTTGAACATGGACTTGGTAGTTTTATTTTCAACTTCCCGATCTATAGGGAAGTTATTGTAATGATCCCGAAAATCGAAAGTGGAAATTTTACGATATCTCCACATTTCATGACCCCTAGAATTTTTCTATGACGTTTTCAAAGACATGTCTGTGTGAGTGTGTGTGTGTGCGTGTTTTTTTTTTATGGAGGTTTAGGAAAATCTTCAAAAGATTCTGGTAAAGTGATGTTAAAAACCAGATCTGGGATTCTTACCCAGTAAAAACTCTGTTTTCCTCTTTTTTACCTGTAATCGTCCATGCCCATTGCCCTCGCGGCACCACCGTTAAGTATTACTTCGCGAGAGGGGTCTCAGCTATTTGCTCTTCCTTGTTATTCTACCTAATGTACGTCCCCCTACCCTACTAAAATGTTGTACGTGGGTAGGAGGTTCCAATAGATTTCTCACCTATACAACATCCTTGCGCTTCCGTTCCTCACTCCTGAGCTCCTTCATGAACTTAGCCGTGAACTCGGTCGTTGCGTCCCATGCTGCCTGCGATGGCAGCATTGCTTCTACCACATTCTCGGGGGACATTTCCCTTCCGAGGTCCGACTCGCAAGTATTCCGGATGTCACTGAAACGGGGGCATGCGCAGAAGACGTGCTCCGCGTTCTCATCCACTCCTGTGCAGGTCGGGAACTCCGGGGAATCTTCATGTCTGAATTTATGGAGATATTCCCGGAAGCATCCGTGCCCTGAAAGCATTTGACAAAGACAGTAATTGACTTCTCCATGAGTTCGACTTACCCAGACAGCTACTTGTGGGATCAGATGATGGGTCCATCTACCCTTGGTCGAGTCGGCCCATTTCTGCTGCCATTAGCTTAAGCTGTTTCGCTTCTCTTCCGTCGCCAGTTCTTCGAAACTGAGCGTTTCCGATCTCTTCCACCGGTACAGAGATTTTCGCTCCTCAGCTAGTACCTCTATGGGTGGCATCCCCGCAATGACACATACGGCATCCGCAGAGACTGTGCGATATGCACTCGCAGCCCTGAGGGCACTTATTCGGTAGATTGGTGCAATCTTCCGCTGTACTTCCTTTAACTGAAGTGCATCGCCCCAGATGGCAATAGCGTACGTGAAAACGGACGTTACCACTGACGATAGTAATGCTCGTCTCCTCTGCTTGGGTTCCCCTACATTGGACATGAGGCGCGATAGGCTGACTCTGACTCCAGAGGCCTTGGCACGGATGTGCTCTGCCTGCTGCTTAAAGTTGAGCCGAGCGTCGATCAGCACTCCCAGATACCGAATGGCCGACTGGGAAGTAAGTTCATAGTTCCCGACTTGCAGCGTTATAGTCTCTACTTGCTTCCTGCTCGTGATCAATACGGCCTCCGCCTTGTGCTCCGCCAGCTGTAGACCTAAGGTGTCCATCAGTGGCGAATAGTTCTGAAGGTCATGTTGCAGACAAGCTTCATGTCTTCCAGGTGTTTCCTCACAATAACTACAGCCACATCATCCGCAAACGCCACTAGGCTGATGCCACGTGGCAGTGTCAGCTTCAGTAGCCCATCGTACATGATATTTCACAAGAGAGGTCCCAATACTGAGCCTTGAGGAACCCCTCCTGTGACTCAATATTCTTTGGGCCCGCACTCCGTGTCGTACTTAAGAACCCTCCCAGTGAAATAGCTTTCGACTATTTTCCGTAGGTATTGAGGTACTTCGAACTCTT